TTTGTCTTTTAAGTCAATATCATATTAAAGAGGCCATTAGATTTTTCTTTTTAATGTCTTATTATTTCTTTGCAATCCTGTCACCTCAGGGTGGCAACCAAAAAACAAGTCATAAATATGAAATGCCCATAGAGACTGCGTTGGGAAAGATATCATAAGACAAAGTAGAGACTACTTTGTCTTATAAATATTTCCTATGCTGGATAAAAAGGTGGAGCTACCAATGTCAACCTCTGCCAAGCCCACAGCCGTTAGCTAGTGATGGCTAAAAGGAAAGAAGGCTTTGTAAATGGGCGTTCCAGCGGTCCAACGAGATCCTCAATAGACATCAGTGTTGTACTCCGAAACATGTGCTAGAGTACAACACTGATTTCCAGGCAGCACTGGATCAAGATGGTGGTGACCGCGAGGGATAGCTTTCAGGTAAGTATAACCTACCTTGCCCTGTAGCCCTGGGCCATTGCACACAGAACATGATGTCACCATCAGGAATCTTTGTGAAATATGCAAAGACCCCAGAAGGTAACAGAGCCACTTTAATGCATTAACTGTGTAATGCATTGAAAAAGATGGTCTCCCTATTTATATATAGAATGTTAAATCTTTGATGTTAACAGACTGAATTATTTAGATTTCTTTTACCCAGAACAAGCTTTTCGTTCATTGGAACACACATAAACATTAAATTATAATGTATTTCCCCTGTGGATGGTATTGTTTCAGAAGAAAACTACTAGTGAACCATTTATATAAAGAACCATTTAATATAAACCGTTTTAAATATCTGAATCCTTTTCAGTTAAAATGGAACACAACTATGGCACGGCCAGCCAATATAGAAATACCGTCATACGAAATGCACAGATGATTACAGAACAGCAGGCGGTCACCAGTCAATTAGATCTTCAGTACTTTTAGCAAAAACAATATGTGCACTTAACGTTAAAGATTTATTTGTTAATTTTTGAACATTTTTCACTCTTATCTTATGCCATTTAAGCTGTCGATTGTAACATTAATACGTATTTTACCATTTGAACGATAAGTGTTATACTCAGCTTACAGAGGATTGCAATTAAAACTCTTTATATTAACAAGAGTGCCTTGGGCACCAATTGGACAAAACTGAGAGTCTCCCAGCACCTGCAGCCAGTGCTCACTTCTGCGGATTGGCTAATACGGAAGTGGAACTTATCCTTCAGATACCTGGGCAGCCCCCATTACTCCGTGTATTACTGCTGCCCAAAGTCAAATGGTCTAGTTTGGGAGATTTTGATATTTCCCATATAATGCTGTTAGTAACTCTAATTTCTTGCAACTTTAATGGTCTTACATATACATATTACATTATTAATTTGATTTATTGCCATTGTATATTAAAATATGAAAAATAAGTTGCCAATGTGCATAGATGTTTAATGAGATCTTATCCCCATGATAGTCATTTGTGAAAAGCTGAAATTGGCCTAAAAAACACAACAGTTTTGCTATTTATTTATGTAAAGCTTTGTAGGAAATTGTTTAAAGTAAATGATCACATAATGCTTGTAATTGTTCTGGTCTCCCGAGTCTTCTCAACTGAAAAATGTCCCAGAAGTGACCAAGATTTTGGCTTGATTTGCATTAATCGAACACGGAGAGAAGAGACAGACAGACAGAGAGGACAGACACAGAGAGAGAATATTGGACATGTGGGAGTATAGAAGACAAGTGCATTTCATGCTAGTCGCTCCTCTGTTGCTATGGTAACTCCTGGGCATCGTGCAAGGATAGCAATGCAGACAGAGCTAGTGAGAATCTTAAATGGTCCAATTAACCTTTAACACGCCAAAGGCTCAACACTCGCACCCTGCTTCCATAATGAAGGGATAGTCTGTGACTGGTGGTGGGGGTACAGTGTGTAAGTGGAGGGGGAGGGAGGGATACAGCATGTGAGTGGAGGATGGGATAAGGCTCTAGTATGACAGTGCTGGGAGGGTGAGAGGGAGGGACACTGTGGGTAAGTGGTGGATGGTATGAGAGTGTTAGGAGACAGTAAGAGGGAGAGAGATACGTGAGTGGTGATGGTGGGAGGAAATAGTATGAGAGTGTTAGGAGGATGAGAGAGGGAGAGATACAGTAAGTCAGTGGAGGAGGAGATACTGTGTCTTAGTGGAGGGAGTTATACAGTATGTTAGTGGAGGGAGAGATACAGTGTGTTAGTAGAGGGAGGGATACAGTGTGTTAGTGGAGGAAGGGATACAGTGTGTTAGTGGAAGGAGAGATACAGTGTGTTAGGGGAGGGAGGGATATAGTGTGTTAGTGGAGGAAGGGATACAGTGTGTTAGTGGAGGGAGATATACAGTGTGTTAGTGGAGGGAGGGATACTGTGTGTTAGTGGAGGGAGAGATACAGTGTGTTAGTGGAGGGAGATATACAGTGTGTTAGTGGAGGAAGGGATACAGTGTGTTAGTGGAGGGAGAGATACAGTGTGTTAGTGGACAGAGATACAGTGTGTTAGTGGACAGAGAGATACAGTGTGTTAGTGGACAGAGAGATACAGTGTGTTAGTGGACGGAGAGATACAGTGTGTTAGTGGAGGAAGGGATACAGTGTGTTAGTGGAGGGAGAGATACAGTGTGTTAGTGGAGGAAGGGATACAGTGTGTTAGTGGAGGGAGAGATACAGTGTGTTAGTAGAGGAAGGGATACAGTGTGTTAGTGGAGGGAGAGATACCGTGTGTTAGTAGAGGGAGGGATACAGTGTGTTAGTGGAGGAAGGGATACAGTGTGTTAGTGGAGGGAGAGATACAGTGTGTTAGTGGAGGAAGGGATACAGTGTGTTAGTGGAGGGAGAGATACAGTGTGTTAGTAGAGGAAGGGATACAGTGTGTTAGTGGAGGGAGAGATACCGTGTGTTAGTAGAGGGAGGGATACAGTGTGTTAGTGAGGAGGACTACAGTGTGTTAGTAGGAGAGGAGATACAGTGTGTTGGTGGAGGGAGAATACTGTGTATTGAGTGGAGTGAGGGATACTGTGTGTTAGTAGAGGAGGATGGATACGTGTGTTAGTGGAGGGAAAAGATACAGTGTATTATGAGGAAGGCATACAGTGTGTTAGTGGAGGAGATACGTGTGTTAGTAGAGGAGAGATACAATACAGTGTAGAGGAGGAGGTACAGTGTATTTAGTAGAGGAAAGGATACAGTGTGTTGAGTGGAAGAGGGTACAATGTATTTAGTGGAGGGAAATACAGTGTGTTAGGGAGGAGGGATACAGTGTATTAGTGGAGGAAAGGGATACAGTGTGTTAGTGGAGGGAGGATACCATGTGTTAGTGGAGAAATACAGTGTGTTAGTGGAGGGAGTGATACAGTGTGTTAGTGGAGGGAGAGATACAGTGTGTTAGGGGGAGGTAAAGAAATGTTGTTAGTGGAGGGAGAGATAAGGAGTTTTAGTGGAGGGAGAGATACAGTGTGTTAGTGGAGGGAGTTATACAGTGTGTTAATGGAGGAAGGGATACAGTATGTTAGTGGAGGGAGGGATACAGTGTGTCAGTGGAGGGACGGATACAGTGTGTTAGTGGAGGGAGGGATACAGTGTGTTAGTAGAGGGAGGGATACAGTGTGTTAGTAGATGGAGAGACACAGTGTGTTAGTGGAGGGACAGATACATTGTGTTAGTAGAGGGAGTTATACAGTGTGTTAATGGAGGAAGGAAAACAGTATGTTAGTGGAGGGAGGGATACAGTGTGTTAGTGGAGGGACGGATACAATGTGTTAGTGGAGGGACGGATACAGTGTGTTAGTGGAGGGAGGGATACAGTGTGTTAGTAGAGGGAGAGATACAGTGTGTTAGTGGAGGGAGATATATAGTGTATTAGTGGAGGGACGGATACAATGTGTTAAGGGAGAGGGAATTACAGTGTGTTAGTGAAGGGAGAAATACAGCATGTTAGTGGAGGGAGGGATACAGTGTGTTAGTGGAGGGACAGATACAGTGTGTTAGTTTAGAGAGAGATAGAGTGTGTTAGTGGAGGGACAAATACAGTGTGTTAGTAGAGGGAGAGATACAGTTTGTTAGTGGAGGGAGAGATGCAGTGTGTTAGTGGAGGGAGAGATACAGTGTGTTAGTGGAGGAAGGGATAAAGTGTGTTAGTGGATGTAGGGATACTGTGTGTTAGTGGAGGGAGGGATACAGTGTGTTAGTGGAGGAAGGGATACCACATGTTAGTGGAGGGAGGGATACAATATGTTAGTGGAAGATGGGGAAAGGATATAGTATGAGAATGTTGAGAGGCTGAGTGAGATAAAGATAGGATGTGAGGGGAGGTTGTGATGCAGTGGGTGAGTGGAGTAGAGGTTGAGATGCAGTCTATAAGTGTCGGTGGGATTGGGAGATAGTGTTTGAGTGTGGGGAGAATGTGTTGCAGTGAGTGAGTGGAGTAGAGATTGGGATGCAGTGTATGAGTGTCAGTGGGATTGGCGGGAGGATGTGATGCAGTGAGTGAGTGGAGTAGAGGTTGGGATGCAGTGTATGAGTGTTGGTGGGATTGGGAGATAGTGTTTGAGTGTGGGGAGAATGTGTTGCAGTGAGTGAGTGGAGTAGAGATTGGGATGCAGTGAGTGAGTGGAGTAGAGGTTAGGATGCAGTGTATGAGTGTCGGTGGGATTGGGGGGAGGATGTGATGCAGTGAGTGAGTGGAGTAGAGGTTAGGATGCAGTGTATGAGTGTTGGTGGGATTGGGAGATAGTGTTTGAGTGTGGGGAGGATGTGTTGCAGTGAGTGAGTGGAGTAGAGGTTGGGATGCAGTGTATGAGTGTCGGTGGGATTGGGAGATAGTGTTTGAGTGTGGGGAGGATGTGTTGCAGTGAGTGAGTGGAGTAGAGATTGGGATGCAGTGTATGAGTGTCAGTGGGACTGGCGGGAGGATGTGATGCAGTGAGTGAGTGGAGTAGAGGTTGGGATGCAGTGTATGAGTGTTGGTGGGATTGGGAGATAGTGTTTGAGTGTGGGGAGAATGTGTTGCAGTGAGTGGAGTAGAGATTGTGATGCAGTGAGTGAGTGGAGTAGAGGTTAGGATGCAGTGTATGAGTGTCGGTGGGATTGGGGGGAGGATGTGATGCAGTGAGTGAGTGGAGTAGAGGTTAGGATGCAGTGTATGAGTGTTGGTGGGATTGGGGGGAGGATGTGATGCAGTGAGTGAGTGGAGTAGAGGTTAGGATGCAGTGTATGAGTGTTGGTGGGAATCGGAGATAGTGTTTGAGTGTGGGGAGGTTGTGATGCAGTGAGTGGACTAGAGGTTGGGAGGCAGTGTATGAGTGTCGGTGGGATTGGGATAGAGTGTTTGAGTGGGGGTTTTTGCGTGATGCAGTGGGTGACATTGTCAGAGGGTGGTTGTTTGAGCGTAAGAGAAGGAACACGGTGTTTGGGAGAGGACACAGAGTGTGTGTGGAAGGTTAGAAAGATACTCTCAGGCTGTTGCTTTTTTGAGATAGAGCCATTTACAAACCTAAGAATCATCTGAGTGACACTGTGGAGGTGCTGCACTTATAAGAGCGCAGAGTCCTTACAGCTCAGTGTAAAATAGGTTAGGAAGTACTTATGGTAAATGTCTTAAATATATTAACACTATAGCAGCATTGCGAACAGTGTCATCTTAATGCCAAGAATAACGGCAGTTACTTAGAGTCCGGGTACTGCACTGTACCCTTACTAATTCCTGTGGACACTGCAGATGCTGTGGACTGTAACTCCCATCACTTTAATTACCCGGCTGAAAAGATTGAAGTAACAGTCCACAACATCAAGAACGCTAACTCTTACCAAGGTCCCCCGAACCCTTAGATCACCACTCCATGACATAATAGTGAATTACAGAGTATAATCTTATAAATGATATTGTATACGTCGTAACACAGACAGAGACAGGGTGGGAGTGGAGGATGCAATGGAGAAAGGTATAAGTAGAGGCATGGATAAAGAGTGTGAGTGGAAGGAAGGTGACTGTGTATGGAAGAAAGTATACAGGGTGTGAGTGGTAGTGTGTGAGTGTGAGTGGATGGATAGAAGCACTGTGTGTGAATGGAGGGATAAAGACTGTGTGAGTGGAGGGAGGGATTGAGACAGTGTGTTAGTGAAAGGAGGGGGACGGAGCAGTAATCCTGCCAGACACGGGGAGAGAGAGGGAGAAAAGCATTAAACGTTCAGCTGCATCATCACCCCAAGACTGGCCTGCACCCTCAGAATGAGGTGAGAGCTGAGAGTGTTTCTTTCTAATTCTGCACCAGTTGCATGTACAGTTAAGAGTGCGAAAGCTGTGTATGCCACTGTATGTGACAGTGTGTGCACGCCTCTGTGTGTCTTATATATACTGCAAAAACAGCTCTGCATTTGCAACAGGATAAACATAAAGAAAACAGGACAGGTTTTGACTAACATACAGAAGCATGCCTATTTATCTAAAGAAATTGAAGAAGACATAGTTATTCACATTTAACAATACTGAATCCTGTACTTTGTGTACAATAGTGCATGACATATGTGAGGGTCTCAGAATAGTGTGTTATAGTATGTCAGATAGTGCACCACCTGTGTGCCAACGTGTGATATTGATGTGTATATGTTATAATTCAGTGCAATCATGCATTACCTGTGTGACAGTGTGCAATAATTTACTGTGTGTGTGTCTGTGGACGTTATAATTCAATGTAATCATGCACTACCTGTGTGCCAATATGTATTAATTTACTGAGTGTGTGTGGCTGTTCGGTATAATAGTGCACCACCCGTGTGCCTAATTTACTGTGTGTGGATGTTATAATTTGGTGTAATCGTACACCACCTGCGCCACGGTGTATAATAATTTTCTGTATATCTGACAGTGTTTAATATTTTATTCTGCGTGTTTGTATGCAAAAATACCCGTCTGTTCTATGTGCATCTAAGTAACATACCGTGTGTGTGTTTGTGTGTGTGTCTGGGTAGAGCAGTGCACAGTGAGTTAGTGTGTACTAGCTGTGTGTGTCTGAGTATGTTACTGCAACTCACTAGCTGTGTGTGTATATACTAGTGGACTATGTGCATGTGATAAGGCACTAGTTGTATTTGGTTATAATAGTGCAAAGCATGTTCAACACTCCACTGATCATTTGTATTAGGGCAACATCATAGCTCCCAACATTTAAAATGGACAAAGAGTGACACCATAATTTTAGGAGTGTGAGTTTGGGTGTGGCCCGGGGCGAGACTGTCCTGAGAAATGCAATTGTCCCTTCTAACTAGGGGAACTTGGGAGATTTGCAACATTAGTGCGTGTCTGGGTATAATAGTGCACTGTACATGTGATAGGGCAGTATCTGCAGATGTTTGGCAATAATCATGAACTGTGTATGTGAAATGGCACACTTTGTGTCTGTCTACAGTAGTGCACTGTAAGTGTGGTAGGGCACTATCTGTGGAACTAGGGCAGTGTTGGGGAGCTAGAGCAGTGCTGGTGATATAAAGCCAGAGTGGGGGAGCTAGGGCAGTGCTAGTGATATAAAGTCAGTGTGGGGGGAGCTAGGGCAGTGTTGGTGATATGAAGGCAGTGTTAGGGAGCTAGGGCAGTGCTGGTGATATGAAGGCAGTCCTAGGGAGCTAGGGCAGTGCTGGTGGTATTAAGGCAGTGTTGGTACGCTTAAGCAGTGCTGGTAATATTAAGGCAGTGTTAGGGAGCTAGGACAGTGCTGTGGGGAGCTAGGGCAGTGCTGGTGATATGAAGGCAGTGCTGGGGAGCTAGGGCAGTGCTGTGATATGAAGGCAGTGATGCGGAGCTAGGGCAGTGCTGGGGATATGAAGGCAGTGCTGGGGAGCTAGGGCAGTGCTGGTGATATGAAGGCAGTGCTGGGGAGCTAGGGCAGTGCTGATTATATGAAGGCAGTGATGGGGAGCTAGGGCAGTGCTGGTGATATGAAGGCAGTGCTGGGGAGCTAGGGCAGTGCTGGGGAGCTAGGGCAGTGCTGGTGATATGAAGGCAGTGCTGGGGGTGGGGCAGTGCTGGTGATATGAAGGCAGTGCTGGGGAGTTAGGGGCAGTGCTGGTGATATGAAGGCAGTGCTGGGAGCTAGGGGCAGTGCTGATGATATGAAGGCAGTGATGGGGAGCTAGGGCAGTGCTGGTGATATGAAGGCAGTGCTGGGGAGCTAGGGCAGGCTGGTGATAGAAGGCAGTGGGCCGGGGAGCTAGGGCAGTGCTGGGGATATGAAGGCAGTGATGGGGAGCTAGGGCAGTGCTGGTGATATGAAGGCAGTGCTGGGGAGCTAGGGCAGTGCTGGTGATATGAAGGCAGTGCTGGGGAGCTAGGGCAGTGCTGGTGATATGAAGGCAGTGCTGGGGAGCTAGGGCAGTGCTGGTGATATGAAGGTAGTGCTGGGGGGCTAGGGCAGTGCTGTGATATGAAGGCAGTGATGCGGAGCTAGGGCAGTGCTGGTGATATGAAGGCAGTGCTGGGGAGCTAGGGCAGTGCTGGTGATATGAGGGCAGTGCTGGGGAGCTAGGGCAGTGCTGGTGATATTAAGGTAGTGTTGGGGAGCTAGGGCAGTGCTAGTGATATTAAGGTAGTGTTGGGGAGCTTGGGCAGTGTTGGTGATATTAAGGCAGTATTTGGGAGTTAGGCCAGGCCTGTGAACATTAAGGTAGTATTGTGGTGTTAAGGCAGTACTGGGAGTATTAAGGTAATATTAGGAAGCTATGGTAGCAATGGGGATTTATTGTACCTGCATTTCTATCCTGCAGGCAATAAAAGACCTAGATACGGGGGGCAATGTAAGGGACCTGGATGGGGGGGTGGGGGCGGGGCATTGTAAGAGTCCTGGATATGAGGGACAGTATAAGAGACCTGGATATGGGAAGCAGTATATAAACCTTGATGTGGGGGCAGTGTAAGAGACCTAGATGTGGGAAGCAGTGTGAAAGAGACTTAGATTTAATGGAGCAAAGGTAGATAGATCGGAATGTTAGAAGTGGTGTTGGAGAAACTTGGATGTGGGAGATAATTGTAGGAGACCTGGATGTGTGGGAGCAGTGTAAGGAGGACCTTCATGTGGGGGAGCACCGTACAGGGACCTGGATTTGGGGGAGCACTGTAAGAGGAACCTGGATGAGGGGAGCACCCTAAGAGGGACCTGAACTTGGGGGAGCACCATCAGAGGGACTTGGATGAGAGGGAACACCGTAAGAGGGACCTGATTTGGGGAAGTACTGTAAGAGGTAGCTGGGATTGGGGGACCACCGTAAGAGAGACCTGGATTTAGGGGAGTACTGTAAGAGGGACCTGGGTTTGGGGGAGTACTGTAAGAAAGACCTGGATAAGGGTGATAAATGTAACAGGGACCTGTGGTGGTAAAGCAGTGTAAGAAGGTCTTGGATGTGGGAGAAGCAGTGTAAGACGGCTCGATATAAGGGGAGCGATGTAAGAGGGAATTATGTGGGAGAAGAGGTGTAAGACGGCTGGATATGGGGGGAGCGGTGTAAGAGGGAATTATATGTGGGAGAAGAGGTGTAAGATGGCTGTGTATGTAATTGGAGAGGGAAAGGGAAAAAACGAGAAGAAAAAAGTAAGACTGACGATGGAATAAAATAAAAATCATCTATTCTGGCTCTTGCTAATATAAAACAGACTCCTGTATGCCACCATGTGATGCTTGAGCTCACAAACACATACATGTTAAATAAGAACTAATTCACAAGAAAGACACCCAACGGCAGCAGTATGAACAAGCAACACAAGATCAGACAATAACCCAGCTCAAAAGAGCAGGTCCAAAAAGAAACATGAAAAATTCAAAACATAACAAAATTGGCCAAATACAGAAATTGTGTTTATTGCTTCCTTTTACAAACTATGTTAACGTATAAAACATGGTGGGCTGGAACGCTTTTAATAATGGATTTTTTCTGGGAGGCGTTAAGATGCTAAATGCTCTGCAGGGAGAAGGATACAAGATTTTCTTGAAAGGGTTTGGATATTAAATGCTGAGCAGGAGGAGGGATGTAAGTTTTTTTGGAGGGAGTTTGGAAGATAAATGCTGCGTGGGGAGAAGGATATGAGTATATGGGAGCGAGTAACGGTGGTAAGTGATGTTAGGGGAAGGTTATAAGATTTCTGGGAGTTTGGTAAATGAGGTATGAAAGACAATTGGGAGAGGTGAGATGGTAAGTGATGCTGGGGGGATTTAATACGATTAAGGAGGTTTAGATAGAATGTGCTGTGATAATATGATTGGGGGTTTTAGAGAATAAGTGGGTTACTAAGAGTAGGTTTGCATGGTAGTGATGGGAGTATAAGATAATTAGAAGAGGTACAGATGGTAAGGACTGTGTTGGGAGAGATATAAGATTATCATTATTATTATTATAATGAGTTCCATCACAGGGTCCAAGTTCTTCCTGCTGTTCGATCACCTATGATGGAGGAGGTTAGCAGGTCAGGAAGGGGGGAATGTCACGCCGTCATTGGCTGTCTGGTACCAGCATGCTGGTGTCAGAGGACAATTTTACACAGAATTGACACTAGCCAGCCTGGAACTTCATTCTATGTTGGCTAAGGATGCTGCTGGAGTTTGAGTTACACCTTTGGAAGCTAAGGGGTTAAACTCGTTATGTGCAGTGTTTCATAGTGTTATGCTGCACACACAGACTCCAGGAACCATGACCACTTCAAATCACTATGCGGTCAAGGTGCATGGAGTAGAATTTTAAGATTGTTGGGAAGTGGGTGTGCATGGTGAGGCGTTGGATGCAGGTTTCGGCATTAGACGCTCATGGTGAGAGATATCAAAGTACTGAGACTGAGAAAGATTGTGAATGGTACGTGCTTTGTGGGGAGATAGAGAAGGTTACTGGGAGGGATAAAACGAGTATTGTGAGGGGGTGTGGGTTGTAAGTACTCTGTGGGGAGAGATATGAGATAATTTGAATTGGCTGTAGAAGCTGTGTAGGAAGATAAAGTGTTTTCTAATGTTATCCAGTTTCCTGTTGAAGTCTCTCATATCACTGCATTACAAATGTTACACCAAAATAGTCTTGCATATTTTCTTTTTAGAAGGAATTCTAACATAAAAATCCACATTCCATTAAAATAACTGATTTTGCATTTCTATCTTAAAATAACACAGAGAATGAAATGTCGGGATATAATCTAATTAGTCTGCTAATCCACTGGCAAAGGCTGTAGTTAAGATTACTGTGAGATGATTTGAATGTTAAAGATTGGAATGTAGGTTTTGGTGAATTTACATCACTAACTTTCGCCCTCTCTCTTAGGTCTGGCTGTAAAACCATCACTTGCATTTTCTATGGCTGTCTCCTGACGGGCACTTGTTCTATACTTCCTGCAGCTCTGCAAACCTCATTACGCCCACATTCGCATACGTCTCTCCAATCTGCTGCCCCACATACACAATCTTCCCTTCGCATGCCGCTTTTAGACCGTGCGATACACCCCATCGCCTACCACCCACATTCTCCTCTCCACACTGCTCTCCCTATATTGCAGTCACAGAGTTTACTTCCAAAGATCCCATACTTCCAACATCATGGTACGCAGCGCCCTCATCACTTTGTGATAGCCAGACGGGGCAAACGGCAATCTCCTGCTGCCAGCTTGCTCTTTCCTGCTGCCCTGGAAGGTGCAGCTCCCCCATCTCAATACCCCTGGGCCATTTTGTGGGGACCTACAGTGTCAGATGAAGATGGAACAGCCCTGAGCTCTGCCTCTTCCACCCCTCGCCCTGGCTTTTATCATGATGGTGATCACCAGTCGCATGAGGAGCCTGCACGAGGCCTGGACTTAAGAGGGGTTCCTACAACACTAAGACCACACATCTACTCTCCAAAAGATGAAGGTGAGCATCAGCCTAGGTTACATGACTTGTATGTGTACAATTCACGCACCTACAACACTTTCTTGCTTTCATTACTTGCAGGGACTGATCCTCAGTTATACGTGACAATTGTCATCTCTGTGCTAATCGTGCTGGTGGCATCTGGTATCATCATCAAATTCTGGTGAGAATGGGGAGTACAAACCAAAATGTGAGCAAAACAAGGGAAGGGGAGCCAGGTACATGGAGAATATTTACTTTACAAAATAATAAGGAAAGTAAGGCACATGGTGGAAGACAGGAAGTGGTGCTGGCTGGGTGAGGACTATGAGGTTCCAAAAAGTGAAATATACAGAGGTTCCAACATTTATAGGATGGGGAGGGTACACTGGATGCAAGCTGAAAAAATTGGTAGTGAATTTCCCTGTCTTGTTACAGCTGTGAGCGAAGGCAGCGGAGAAGGCATCAACGAGCTGAGAGATGCCCCTTACCAGAGGAAGGAAGCCTACAGCCTCTCACCGACCTGTCACCAGACACAGACATCCCTGGACTCCAACCTCTCAAACTTGGGGATTTCAAAAAGGGAAACGAAGAAAGAGGAGGTCCCTACAGGGCCAGCAAGTGAGGGAAACTGAGTGTTTTGTAACTTAGTCATCAACTTGTGCACATATAATCCAATGTATAAAAACAATGTCCCGGAAGGTGCTCTTTAGGGTTACTTCAGAGAAATACACAAATTGGATATACAGAGAGTAAGAAAAAAGATAAATGATGGTAAACTGTGTATTAAAAGGAAATAAAGCCAATGAGGTGTTCTGGTAAAATATAATAAATCACAAAGCCGAATGTCGAGAAGTTTATTAATGTCTCCAGAACCACTCAATGGCAGTATTTGACCCCAATATATGCTTCTTTGTTATGTATCTTTTTGCATTACATGACACTTTTAGAGCTATTATTATTAGTTATATAACGCCAACATATACCACAGCGCTTTACAATCACAGAACGGGGATAATTGACTATAAGTAACTGACAAACAGAATATAACAAAGACAAGAGGTGAAGAAGGCCCTGTTTAAATGACCTTACAATCTATGAGGAAGAGGTAAAGACACACAAGAGACAGACCAGCATGTCAGAGGAGAGGAGGGATTGGTGGATATGGTGCCTATGTTGAAATAAAAAAGGGTGTGTGGAAGAGATTAGTGTTTGTTCTCCGCCTTGCATGGTGTCAAACCATTCAGAATTCTAGAGTCATTATGGGGAACAATTGCACAGATGATGTCACCATCCATCCCTCCCCTCTTGTTTCATTTCTAAAGAATTAAAAAGGTGGTTTTGCTGCAAATGATTTACAAGCAGAGGTATATTTGTCTTTTAACGCATAGTCTTTAATGCTTTGTCTATTTAATCTCATCAATACAAACCAGAGTCATTTATATTCAAACTAAAAACAGATGAACTAGGCTTCCGTTTTCCAATCCATTTGATTTCTGCTAACCCGAGTACCTCACCATGACAGCTGGTGTCTTAATGCTACAGGCAATCTCACTCTCCATCTCTTACTGACTCCAGTCTGTTATTCTTTATCCATTCTCCATGTGTGCCCCTGCTTATTAACCTATTGTATCCCAGCCATTCTCCATGTGTGCCCCTGCTTATCAATTTATTATATCCCAGCCATACTCCCTGTCTGACAATGCTTATTAATCTATTGTATCCCAGCCATTCTCCATGCGAGCCACTGCTTACCAATATATCATATCCCAGCCATTCTCCATGTGTGCCCCTGCTTATCAATCTATTGTATCCCAGCCATTCTCCATGTGAGCCCCTGCTTATCAATATATCATATCCCAGCCATTCTCCATGTGAGCCCCTGCTTATTAATCTATTGTATCACAGCCATTCTCCATGTGAGCCCCTGCTTATCAATCTATTGTATCCCAGCCATTCTCCATGTGTGCCCCTGCTTATCAATCTATTGTATCCCAGCCATTCTCCATGTGTGCCCCTGCTTATCAATCTATTGTATCCCAGCCATCCTCTATGTGTGCCCCTGCTTATCAATCGATCATATCCCAGCCATTCTCCATGTGAGCCCCTGCTTATCAATCTATTGTATCTCAGCCATTCTCCATGTGTGCCCCTGCTTATCAATCTATCGTATCCCAGCCATTCTCCATGTGTGCCCCTGCTTATCAATCTATTGTATCCCAGCCATTCTCCATGTGTGCCCCTGCTTATCAATCTATTGTATCCCAGCAACTCTAGACGTGTGCCCCTTCTTATCAATCTATTGTATCCCAGCCATTCTCCATGTGTGCCCCTGCTTATCAATCTATTGTATCCCAGCAACTCTAGACGTGTGCCCCTTCTTATCAATCTATTGTATCCCAGCCATTCTCCATGTGTGCCCCTGCTTATCAATCTATTGTATCCCAGCCATTCTCCATGTGTGCCCCTGCTTATCAATTTATTATATCCCAACCATATTCCCTGTCTGACCCTGCTTATTAATCTATTGTATCCCAGCCATTCTCCATGCGAGCCCCTGCTTATCAATATATCATATCCCAGCCATTCTCCATGTGTGCCCTTGCTTATCAATCTATTGTATCCCAGCCATTCTCCATGTGAGCCCCTGCTTATCAATATATCATATCCCAGCCATTCTCCATGTGAGCCCCTGCTTATTAATCTATTGTATCCCAGCCATTCTCCATGTGAGCCCCTGCTTATTAATCAATCATATCCCAGCCATTCTCCATGTGAGCCCCTGCTTATTAATCTATTGTATCCCAGCCATTCTCCATGTGAGCCCCTGTTTATCAATCTATTGTATCCCAGCCATTCTCCATGTGTGCCCCTGTTTATCAATCTATTGTATCCCAGCCATTCTCCATGTGTGCCCCTGCTTATCAATCTATTGTATCCCAGCCATTCTCCATGTGTGCCCCTGCTTATCAATCGATCATATCCCAGCCAGTCTCCATGTGAGCCCCTGCTTATCAATATATTGTATCTCAGCCATTCTCCATGTGTGCCCCTGCTTATCAATCTATCGTATCCCAGCCATTCTCCATGTGTGCCCCTGCTTATCAATCTATTGTATCCCAGCCATTCTCCATGTGTGCCCCTGCTTATCAATCTATCGTATCCCAGCCATTCTCCATGTGTGCACCTGCTTATCAATCTATTGTATCCCAGCAACTCTAGACGTGTGCCCCTTCTTATCAATCTATTGTATTCCAGCCATTCTCCATGTGTGCCCCTGCTTATCAACCTATTGTATCCCAGCCATTCTCCATGTGTGCCCCTGATTATCAATCTATTGTATCCCATCCATTCTAGATGTGTGCCCCTTCTTATCAATCTATTGTATCACAGCCATTCTCCATGTGTGCCCCTGCTTATTAATCTATTGTATCCCAGCCATTATCCCGGTCTGCCCGTTTATCAATCTATTGTATCCCAGCCATTCTCCATGTGTGCCCCTGAATATCAATCTATTGTATCCCAGCTATTCTCTATGTGAGCCCCTGCTTATCAATCGATTGTATCCCAGCCATTTTCTTTGTGTGCCCCTACTTGTCAATCAGTTGTATCCCAGCCATTCTCCATGCAAGCCCCTGCTTATCAATCTATTGTATCTCAGCCATTCTCCATGTGTGCCCATGCTTATCAATCTATTGTTTCCTAGCCATTTTCCATGTGTGCCCCTGCTTATCAATCTATTGTCTCCCAGCCATTCTCTGTGTGTAACCCTGCTTATCAATCCATCTTATCCCATCCATTCTCCATGTCTGCCCCTGCTTATCAATCTATGGTATCCCAGCCATTCTCCCTGTCTGACCAGGCTTATCAATCTATTGCATCCCAGCCAATCTTCAATTCGGCATGTTTATTTGTTTACCATACTCAATGTCTGTAAGATTATTATGCCATTATACCTCTGCTGTTATCCAGGTCTACCATATACAGCTATTAATGTCTGTCCAAATGACCCTTTTCTCAACAACTGGCCTAACTCTATGTCCTACCTGCCAATGACTAAGTTGATTTCCATAAACTCAAAGCAAAATTTTCACTGTAAAAAAAAAGAAGCTCCAGACTGATGGGGTGTCAAAACCCAATATATCACTGGTAACATTGGTAGTTAGTCCAGACAGTCGATGTTCAAGCTTTCATAGGAACATCCAAACAACTGTGAAAATTTTCCAGCCATACTTTGGGACCTTTGTCACCAGGGTCACATTGCAAGGCTGAAACATTACTTGGATGTTCCTATTAAAGCCTGATTCCTAAAGAATATCAGGTGCATGGACTTTCTACCAATTTTACCCTTACTACCCTAACACCATCCCCCAGCTCTGATTATCAGTCTATCTTATATAGTCACTAATACACAATTTTCAGTCTATCATTTCCAGACTTGAATTCAAACTTATCCAACCTCTCACTGTCATTTATTACTGCCCGTGTATCATCTACTGAATCTATAATCCTTAGGCCATTCCCCATGATTTCCAGAGTATTATCCCCAATGATTCTCCATATCTGCAAGTTTTTCAATGTTTCCCCCTGCTATTCTCAGGGATTTCCCATGACAGCCAGTCTATAAACCCCTGCCATGCTCACTGCCTGCCCATTATTGTCATTCTACTATCCCCTGCCATTCTCTGCCCATTCATTACGGGTGTCTTTAACCCTTTAATATCTCAATAACTTCTTACACTCCTGCGGTTTAGAGACCCGTGGATGATTACCGCTAAATGCTACAGCACTGACCTACTCCTTTATCTTTCATTTTTAGGATCCCTATGGTGACCATGTGACTCTGATGGGGGTATGAAACACACGCACAAGCTGTTAGGTAAAGGAATTTAACCAAGCCAAGAGGCAAAACCCCTCATCTCAGAATCCTTGAATTTGGATTGTTTGTGTCTGGGGCAGGAAGATCATGAGAAGAGAAGGAAAGGAGTAACTCTTCTAATATCTGACGAGAGCAGCAAGACCAAGAGGAGACTAAGGGGTGAACTCCCCTCTATATGTATGACATCATATAAGTGAAGAGAGGTTACACACATTTGTACATAATTGTACTTGCACACGTGTAGAGGCTAATAGCACTTAATCACTGGCCTTTTCTGTCTATATCTCAGTGTAGGGAGGATATATATCTAATTAGATCAGTGTGACTCCAACAGAGCAATGTGACAAAGGGCTTCAATTCATGACTGTTTGTCTGTTTGCACCAACAGGAAAACTCAGTTTTATTGTGTATATATCTGCACATTATTCTGTGTTTCAACAGTTTTATTTTTAATAAAATAAAGTTTGAGTGTAATTTAATAGAGGTGATTAACGCGATCTCTATACCAAAACACACCACTGCCAGCCTTGACTCTCACTCTGGAAAGGTGCTGACTTCACATCAGCTTCCCATAGATCAAACTCTGCAAAACATAAAATCAAAAATTACATACTATTTCCTGCTATACCAGTCTGTGTATCAGCCATGGGGAGCTCTCAGTCTAGGTTTCCTTCTATCCCAGTCTGTGTGTGGGCCATTGGGAGCTCTCAGTCTAGGTTTCCTTCTATCCCAGTCTGTGTATCAGCCATGGGGAGCTCTCAGTCTAGGTTTCCTTCTATCCCTGTCTGTGTGTGGGCCATTGGGAGCTCTCAGTCTAGGTTTCCTTCTATCCCAGTCTGTGTGGGTCATTATGAGCTCTTAGTCTAGGTTTCCTTCTATCCCAGTCTGTGTGGGCCATTGGGAGTGCTCAGTCTAGGTTTCCTTCTATCCCAGTCTGTGTGTGGGTCATTGGGAGCTCTCAGTCTAGGTTTCCTTCTATCCCAGTCTGTGTGTGGGCCATTGGGAGCTCTCATTCTAGGTTTCCTTCTATCCCCGTCTGTGTGTGGGTCATTGGGAGCTCTTAGCCTAGGTTTCCTTCTATCCCAGTCAGTGTGTGGGCCATTGGGAGCTCTCAGTCTAGGTTTCCTTTTATCCCAGTCAGTGTGTGGGCCATTGGGAGCTCTCAGTCTAGGTTTCCTTCTATCCCAGTCTGTGTGTGGGTCATTGGGAGCTCTCAGTCTAGGTTTCCTTCTATCCCAGTCTGTGTGGGGCCATTGGGAGCTCTCAGTCTAGGTTTCCTTCTATCCCTGTCTGTGTGTGGGCCATTGGGAGCTCTCAGTCTAGGTTTCCTTCTATCCCAGTCTGTGTGTGGCCATTGGGAGCTCTCATTCTAGGTTTCCTTCTAGTCTGTTGTCCATTGGGAGCTAGTCTAGGTTTCCTTCTATCCCAGTCTGTGTGTGGGCCATTGGGAGCTCTCATTGGGAGCTCAGTCTAGGTTTCCTTCTATCCAGTCTGTGTGTGGGCCATTGGGAGCTCTCAGTCTAGGTTTCCTTCTATCCCAGTCTGTGTGTGGGCCATTGGGAGCTCTCAGTCTAGGTTTCCTTCTATCCCTGTCTGTGTGTGGGCCATTGGGAGCTCTCAGTCTAGGTTTCCTTCTATCCCCGTCTGTGTGTGGGTCATTGGGAGCTCTCAGTCTAGGTTTCCTTCTATCCCAGTCTGTGTGTGGGCCATTGGGAGCTCTCAGTCTAGGTTTCCTTCTATCCCAGTCTGTGTGTGGGCCATTGGGAGCTCTCAGTCTAGGTTTCCTTCTATCCCAGTCTGTGTGTGGGTCATTGGGAGCTCTCAGTCTAGGTTTCCTTCTATCCCAGTCTGTGTGTGGGCCATTGGGAGCTCTCAGTCTAGGTTTCCTTCTATCCCAGTCTGTGTGTGGGCCATTGGGAGCTCTCAGTCTAGGTTTCCTTCTATCCCAGTCTGTGTGTGGGCCATTGGGAGCTCTCAGTCTAGGTTTCCTTCTATCCCTGTCTGTGTGTGGGCCATTGGGAGCTCTTAGTCTAGGTTTCCTTCTATCCCTGTCTGTGTGTGGGTCATTATGAGCTCTTAGTCTAGGTTTCCTTCTATCACTGTCTGTGTGTGGGCCATTGGGAGCTTTCAGTCTAGGTTTCCTTCTATCCCTGTCTGTGTGTGGGCCATTGGGAGCTCTCAGTCTAGGTTTCCTTCTATCCCTGTCTGTGTGTGGGTCATTATGAGCTCTTAGTCTAGGTTTCCTTCTATCCCTGTCTGTGTGTGGGCAATTGGGAGCTTTCAGTCTAGGTTTCCTTTTATCCCTGTCTGTGTGGGTCATTATAAGCTCTTAATCTAGGGTTCCTTCTATCCAAGTTTGTGTGTGTTTCACTGTCTAGTTTTCAGACAGTCCCTTACCTTTTTTGTGGTTTCCTTTAAACCCACACTTTCACTCTAGTTGTCCTAAGTCTTTTTGTTTTATGTGTTTTCCTTGAGTGTTTAGAAGTAGTTTTTGTTGGCTTCTTGAAGGTCTATAGCTAGTGAGCTCTCTCACCTAACATCTGTCCTTCACTGTATGCAAATGTGGTCTCCTGTTAATAAGCCCTGTCAACCATGCTTGTTTGATGGGCACTTAACAATCAATCACATGCCATACAGATGACGATTTACATATTTAGTGTTAAGAAAGGAGATTTCTCCTATAGCAAAGGAAAGGGTTCTATACAGTGAGAACAATAAAGATGTAGGATTCTTTTGCTAGTGATTGACTAGGGATTACAAAGAAGGGCAGAGGATAGTTAAAACAAAGACTATTATTTCATATGTTTTTTTTGAGAGGGTCTGCCTCTACTGATGGGATTGGATCTACAATCCACAAGTTAGCATCTCCATGGACAGTTACAACACATTTACATTGGACGGTGGACATTACAGCAAGGAATTTCCTGAGACTAAGTATGAGGTAACATTCTATAGCCCAGAGAAGTCAGTAAATCCGTGGTGGTGGTAAGGTAAAGTGGTTGAAAACCCAGAAGGGACCTCTTATTCTAGTCACCTCATTTCGATCAGGTTTCACTGTGTAGGGCAGAGCATTAAAGCAAAAAAAAAAAAAACATTCTAGAGATAGTATACTAAGCTATTCCATCGCTGGGGCTACATCACCCTGTGGGGTCTTCCTAGATACTTGTAAAAAATACACAATCTATGACTTTTTATAATAAAGTCACACACTATCCTAGATACTGTGAGGGTCTATGGTAAATTTAATTTACATTCACAAGTAGTGCATTATGCGTTGGAGCTGTAAATGCAATTCAATGAAGGGAGACAGAGTTCTAGAAATTAGGACTTTTCTTACCTTCTTCATCATCTGATTCAGAATCTGGAGCAGAATTAAGAAATCCAGAACAGAACTGAAACTGGATGGTGTCTCTGAAACAACAAATAGGGATTGGTTACCTTAACGAAAAACAGCCACCCCCTGTTTGGCAGAGGAGGACTCTTCCTCTATATAAACACAGACCCAGGGGAGAGCGTGACTTTCTATACAGAAAAAAAGAAATAAACCAGCGCAACATAAACAGACGATGACTGATGGACATTAACGACTGACGGTACACTCACCCATCCAGCAACCTTTTTTTGGGCTGCTCCTCCCACAAAAGGAGTTCCCTCCCTCCGGTCACCCAGCAACAAAGACCCGCAGAACCGCGAGAAACAGCTAGACACAGGAGCCGTGGAGCATCACGATGTGAGAGAGTTCCTAGGTAATTACCTGTCTTAGCATTGCGAACTGCAAAGAGAAACAAAGAAGCATTCACTGAAATGAAAACACCACTGAAGAAACAAATCTCTAAATCATAAAAAATTAGACATATTCAAACCCAGGATGTGCACATCTAAGTATCACTAGTATCGTCTGAGTTGGGAATTACCCTCACTGTCTGATCATTGTGTATCATTGACCTGGGTATCTGTATTGTGCCCATTTGAGGTAGGAATTAATCCCACTGGTTAGTGTACCACCCATCTAGCTTTCACACTATACGATCAATGTGCCAGTCTGAGCTGGATATCACAACTCAGTCTAGGTTTCCTTCTATCCCAGTCTGTACTCGTTTGTGCTGCTTTTGCAAGACCAGAAAACAGAGTATAATCAGCCAAATCAGCTAATGCCCCTCACGAATGTTAAAAAAAATACCAATACAATACCAACCATTTAAGTACCCTTGTCCCTGGTCAACGTTGAACCCAGAAGCAACAAGGAGATCATCAGATGTAACAGCCACGGCATCAACAAACCCAGTGCCAGAGGTGTGATTGGACAGACGGATAAGACGATCTGTTTAAGAGAAATTACAAGAGAAAGACGTTATATGGAGTACAATGAGAACAAAAACACTCTGTTTTGTTCCAGTTCTGCCTGGGTGTCAATATACTTGCAGAATGTACATGGGGACGGTAAAGATTTCAACTAGAGGAGGGACAGACATGTAGAAAGCTATTGGTAGCACTTTACAAATCACTGGTACAATCTTCCCTACAATTAGGATACAAATAGTGAGAGCACTTTATAAATCATTAATCTAGAGCACTGTGTTCATTCTATAGAGCAGATCACCAGGAGGATCTAGAAAAGTGAATTAGATTATGTTCTAGTGCAGGCATAGGCAACCTTCGTGACTCCAGATGTTTTGCACTACACCTCCATTGATGCTTTGCCAGCATTATAGGGGATGTAGCCCACAACATCTGGAGTGCCGAAGGTTGCCTGTCCCTGTTCTAGTGTTTGTATGATGAAACGTGTGCTAACCTGGAAGTATTGGGAATTCCAAACTTTAAGCCAATGTAGCTGAATTGGAAATATTCTCCTTTGCCACTGTTTTTCCAGCGTGGACACTTTAATCTAAAATTTGTAATTCCCTATTCAATTCCTGATTTATTTGTTTTTGTGAATAACCTTGAGAAACTTTGCAGAAATGATCGATATGAACGGTCTTGGCATCAGGTAAAACATGTGCTGGTTTGCACTGTGCACAGTGGAGAGTAAACATAATTTGTCTCTGCAAAAATAAAGTAACAGACATAATATAAAGGTCAAGTTTGCTACGGTTGCCACGTTCTCTTAGTTGGGCATTTGATTAAAAACGTATTCACACTTCAGAGGTGTTGCAAAGTTTTCATTTATCCATTCTGCAAAGGTAAAGACTTTACTTGAGTTTGGTTACTAGGAATTTTGAAACCCGTGAAATTCGGTAGTTTGCATAGCATTATTATTATTATAGTAATAGAAAGAATGGCCACCTTGACATGACTGTAAAGTTCCCCACTTAATAGTGATATGCTGAGCTCTAACTATGCAGATTTCCTCCATGAGTCATGTTCTGTTATATACCGCACTTGTTGGCCTAGATACTAAGCTCTTTAATGTAGCGTGATAATGTATGGCCGTGTGATGACAGGCTTCATGTCGTGGGATGCACTAAGCGCGTTTAACTTAGCGTGATAATGCATTCAAGGCATGGTTTCACATCATGGCTTCCACTTAGAAGTTTTAATGTGGTGTGATAATGTATTCATTGACAGTTTGCTACCAACACACCTAAATCAAGTCTGCCTCTGTCTAGATGGGCTGTTCCAACAGGGAGCTTAACCTGATCTCAGAGCACAGTGCTAGACATTCACTCCAGCCATCATTTGCATGGCTGTAGATGTTTATGGAGTGTTTGCATACTGAAACAGGCAAACTGTAAGGCTCTTGATTTAAGCCATGCTTGAAATGCAATTCCACATTTGCATTACATTATACGCTTGTGCATCATCCCCTTTAATTACAGCATATTTAAGCTCCTTACCTGCACCTACAATACAGTATTTGTCAATATATGGGGTAGTTCATAAGAGCACTATACTACTCCAGTAGTTACTTACCATAAATGTTATCCAAGATCGGAGCATAATGTAGCACTAAAGTCACTGTTACCAAGTACAAGTATATAGGGAATTCAGGGAAAAGTTCCAGCTGGAACTGAAACTTCCACCTTTGACAGCTAGCAGTCATACCTCCTTTATATAACAAAAGGTGTGCTATATTAATGATATTAAATGCTGGTCCATCACACAGATATCTGCCCAAATGCCTAAATAGTTAACCTATGGTAGATCCCCAGATGCTGTAGAACTACAACTCCCATGAGGCTTTGCATGCTGTTAGAATGCCTTTAGAATGACAAAGCATCTTGGAAGCTGTAGTTTTAAATAATCAGGGTATATATCTTTTGGGCACCCCTGCCCTATAGTATTTATAATTAGTGATGTCCCGAATGGTTCGCTGCGAACGGTTTGCCGCGGACTCCAGTCAGCAGACACATTCCAGCCAATCAGCAGCAGACCCTCCCTCCCAGACCCCCCCACCTCCTGGACAGCATCCATTTTCAAGCTGCATTCTTAGTGAGCCGTCCAGGAGGTGGGAGGGTCTGGGAGGGAGGGTCTGCTGCTGATTGGCTGGAATGTGTCTGCTGACTGGAGTCCGTGGCGAACTGTTCGCGGCGAACCACGGCCAACCGTTCGGGACATCACTATTTATAATCCTTTTTAGTGTATTTTGGTCTACCTTGTTTCCACGTAACAGCTTTTACACACACTCCTTGGCTGGCTATGTATGCTTTCTCCCCAGTGATACAAATGGAGTGTAGTCCATGCAGAGACGACATCAATTCGTCACAGGAATGTACAAGACTCAAGGTGCCGGAAGAGGACAATTTCCAAACCTTTAGAGAACCATCAGAAGATCCGGAGAACAGCAGCCCAGAGTGAAACTAAATATAAAGTGACCACAATTAGTGTCTAGTCTGATCAGTAATTGACTTACTCTACTCAGTCGGCTAAAAGGCTATCGTCCATGTCACCTGCAAGGATGTCACTCTATCTCCGTGAGCTCGCTCTGAATGCACGTTCTGTTTTGTTTGAAGATCCCAAACATCAATCTTTCCACCATCTGAAACATGGAACACAAGACATTACACGCCATGTTTTTAGCTTAAGGATGATAAACTGCTCATGTAGTTATGAGGTCTTGTTACTGAATATCTTACACTACCCCCAATATCTAGCCAATATGATTCATGTTTTATGAATTAGCTGGACAAGGAGTCCAGGAGTGTTCACAGGCATTTGCCTTAAATGGACGTGGTAAATAGTGGTACTGAGTATATCTGTGCGTTATTAGCATCAGGAATACGGACCAACATAGGATAATATCACTCACCTGATCCCGATATTAGAAATGGTGTCTTGGGACTGTACACAAGTGATGAAACTTCAGAAAAAGTGTAAATGCTGAAAACAGGCCGACCTGAAAAAAGACGGAGAATGATAACCAAATCTACAAAAGCCTCATCTTTGGAACAGATCTTCCTCATCCTTATCACCAGCCGGTCATTTCGTTTGGCTGTATCTCCAGCAACTCTTTCATTATCCAGCCCCCCTTTACCCCAGTCCTAATATCATCCACACCCCATTCAACATCTACTTCATCTCTGCCACCCACTGAATCCTAGTCATCTCCAAACTCCTGCCACCATCTGCCATTCCAGCTCCTATCTCCCCACTCCTGCGATCAGCTGGCATCCCAGACCCTATCTTACCAGATGTCCTCCTAGCCTGACATCTCTGCTAACCTGATCATATTCAAATCCAAGCACCAAATCTTCAGCGCAAAATTCTCCCTTTACCGGTTACCTGCCACCTCCCCATATCCATGTTCCCTGTCAAAAGCCACCTACATATCAGGATTTGCAGTCTAAGCTTATCTATCCAGGTATCCAAATCTCACCTTTCCAGCAGTGTGAGCCCCATCTATACCACTACTAGCCCCTTTTGCTCCATCCTAGTCACCACTCAGCAGTCTTTCATCAGCTTAACTGTCATCACCTCTCTCTTATATAGAGAAACAAGAAAAGTATAGGCACTCCAAGGTCCAGTGAAGGCAAAATATATTGGAGCCAAATAACAAGCAGCTTGGAGCTGCCGGTTATTTGGCTCCAATAAATTTTGCCTTCACTGTACCTTTGAGTGCCTATACCTTTCTCTATATTGGTATTTGGGACCTGGTGCTGGGTCCAGGTCTAGTTGCACCCTGGCTCAGAATTATGGGATTGAGTGCAGTTCCTCATTTGTCTCAACTCTCTCTCATAGCCAGCTTCCTCATCATCAGACATCCCTCTCTCCAACATTCCTATCACTCCACTTATCCCAGTCCCCCCAAAAACCTTTCCATGTCCCAATTACCTGTGGTCATGCTCCAAACTCTGATGCTGCAGTCTGATGATCCACTTGAGACAAACTCTTCATTCGGTGGCCAGATATCAGGGTCTGTCGAACAAGTTCAAACCATTAAGAATCAAGGAATATGCCCTCAAACTAAAAACATACCTCCTATGATCTTACTTATATTAGTTCAAAACTTACCTAATGTATCTTCTTTCAAGGGAAGAAATGCCAGACAATTGACAGCTCCAGTATGACCACACAGAGTCTTCTGCTCTGAGCAAGAGCGGATATCCCACACCCGGACTGTAGTGTCCCAACTGGACGGAAATGGGTCCGACATACAAATTAAAAAGCAAACAAAAAACAGAACGGATGAGGCCAATGCGGTGTAGCAAATAAAGGAAACCAAAGTGACTGGGAGATGGAGAGAATGGAAAGAAGCTTCAGACACTGGCATAAAATTGGCATGGAGAGAAATGAAAAAAAAAAAGCTACATTTAGAGAGGGACAAAATGGAGGATGCCAAGTACACAGTGAGTTGGAAGGAATGAAATTAAAAGGCATAGAGCAAAATAGACGAGAGGAATGGAAGAGTATGGAGCAAGGAACAAATAGCTGGGATGACGGAGAGAGAGAGAGATAAATTCATGTGAAGGTAAACCAGTTAAGATTCTACATGGAAGGGGATTTAAATAAAGAAACCCTACAGTGCGTCCTTGTTAACAGAGATCCTCCCTGCATTTTAAAGACTAATTATAATACAACTTTTGTTTAACTCACCTCCCAGAGATTATGCATGGACCATGTACAATGACACACGTCACCAGATCATCATGTCCTTTCAATCGATGAACAAGGTACTTGGAGTTTTGTAAAGGAAAGGACTCTAAAAAAAATGGAGGGTCAAAAAAGCCAAAGTAAAGATGTTTTAGGGGTAGTGAACTGTAAGAGGAGAGGTTAAAGGAGATGATGTGTAAAAAAAACAAACAAAAAAAAAAACATTACTATAGGACTGCCGGGGAGATAATTCCCTACTGCACATTGTCCTGGTATTGTGGTTAATCACACAATTACCATATTTCCTGCATATTAATGTATAGTGCATATCTTCTTTCCGTACTCCCTCCTCCGTTAGATGCTCACCCAGTCTCCACTCCTTCAAAAAATCGTTAAAAACCCACTTCTTCATAAAAGCGTATCAATTAAACTGTTAATAGCTCCCGACTGATTCCTCTTCTGCAACTGTCACTAGTCTAATACTATCCTTACCTTTTTGTGTCACTTTACCCCACTCCCTCTAACATGTAAGCTCATTGAGCAGGGCCCTCAAACCCTCTGTTCCTGCATGTCCAACTTGTCTGGTTACAACTACATGTCTGTTCATCCACCCATTGTAAAGCACTGCGGAATTTGATGGCGCTATATAAATAACATCATAATAAGAATACATTATGGTTTGCTCTCCACTCACCTGTGACTCAAATGATGAGATCCGGCCCAAGATATACTACATTGCTAATCAATTTCAGTTAAAGGGACATTATAGGCACCCAGATCACTTCAACTAATTGAAGTGGTCTGGGTGCAGTGCCCCTGTCAGTTTAACCCTGCAATTGTTATTTTTGCAATTATTAATAAACTGTTAGCCACTAACCCTGCAAACTGATTAATTGCAGACAACCACCAGGAAGTGCCTCTAGCGGCTAGGAAACTTTTAGTCGCTAAGTGATGCTGGACGTCCTTACGCTTTACATGAGGACACCCAGAGTCAGCTAAAACCCCATAGATAAGCATTCATTTAATGCTTTCCTATGGGGTAGTCCTAATGAGATTGCTGCAATCGCTGCACATGTACATTAGGCCCCCCTTTGGTTGCACCTGCTTACCTCTACATTTTTTTCATTGCTGAGGTGGGAGTTTGACTGTATGTGGGGTAACAGAATTACTTTAATAACAGTGTCAGAGAAGAAAACACCATTAGGCATTACAAACAATGACAACACATTTGCAGAGATTTACTATTTAAATTATTAGCATTTACATTGGTAACAGAGCGTGACGGTGGATACCAAACGGGGGAATTTCCAGAAATGGCAACATGTCAAGCGCTTACCTTTTACCTGAAATATAACCTTCCTCTTTAAAAACGGCAAAATGTGTGTCTAGTACTACAGATTTCCTTTAAATATTGCATATTATTGTAGTAGGGTTATCAAATACATGAATAATATGTGTCCTAAAAGGGACACTCTAGACCCCTCAATCACTTTAGATTGCTGAAATGCTTTATTTGTGAAGAGTGTGTCCTCTTTTTTTTCAATTTCGAAACATTGCAGATTTCAATAGAAATGGGCACTTTCATAACAGAACTTTGTTACACCTACTTCCCCCCACGGCAGACAACCAGTCCTTTTACTTCCTGGTTTAGTTAGCTCAGTGGAGCTGAACTCAAGAGGCAGCAATTGCTCAGTGCACCTGCCTTGAACGACTTGTCATTGAGCTGCATTGGGAAGCCTGTGATTGGACAGCCACAGAAAAACTGGGCGGGGTTAGAAGCGGAATGCTTGCAAAAGCTGCAGACAGCAGATTTAATTAGGGGTATTTCTACTAAATATTGTTTTGTTTATATTTGGACAATGGAATGTTCTTTTAATTGTATTCTATACTATTATACAGCAAATTAACAAACATAATTTATATTTATATCATTTTATATTAAAAATAAATAATTTAACATCAGTTTCCGTTGAGACAGGGATATTTGTTTTCTCACTGAAATAATACCTGACCATTTACTTGCTTTTCTTGTTAAACCTTCCAACATATCACAGTACAGTAAATAGAGATACATTAAACTCGTACCTGGACTCTTTTGTGTCTGTTTAGAGGTGACATGTTGTGGAGGAGAGTCTGGCTGTCTGCAAGTCAAACACACAAAGAACACGTAAAATCAAGGACCAATAACATGCACAAACTCTTTTATTCTGTTTTATTCTCCCTATGCCATCTGTTTCGAAATGTCCTGATACAATTCATCCCAAGTCTAATCACTATAGCAACCCATCTCACTAATTATATACTTTGATTTAAACCATTGTAAAACTCAAGTATAATACAATGGGGAGACTGATATCCCAGGGAACAGTATACAGGGATCCAACTGGTACCACATGGAATAGAGACAGAGGGACCAGTGATTTCCCACATGCAGACTGAAATCTAAACGATAATAGAGATAATAACACAGACAGCAGAATGGCATCCTATAAGCATAATGGTATCCCACTGGCCGGGGTCAGAATGGTATCCCGCTGGCAAAGGACAGAATGATATCTAACCTACAGCTTAAGATAGAATGACAACACAAAGTAGTGGGCACAAATAATCCAGAATAAGACGTCTTCATTTTGATGAATTTGGGGGTTTCTTTACTTTGAATATTTTTAGGTACACTGTATATACCTGTGATCTTCATTTTGTTGCGCATGCTCAACCACAGGATTTACTCCAATACTATGAGACAAAATCTGCTCCACGAGACATCTCAACTCCAACTTCTGTGACACCTGTGGACAGATAGACAGAAATGTGGACAAGTAATGTGCAGGTAGAAAAAATAAAAGATAGGGCAGTGCTATATAAAAAGGGAAATTCTCTCCAAGAACCATTAAACAATTATGTAAATAGACATAAATATAGAGTGTGCCAGTGAGCAGATAAACAACAAATCACAATAGTAAAACAGGTATATATAACAAATAGATAGAAATTGTGAAAATACAGATACAATACAATAATAGCAGGCTTAAAATGAGATATAAAAAAAGTCTCTGAATGACTGGATAAGTATTAGTCCTTCTTCAAGATTAATAGTCAACGAGATGCTCAGGGTCCATGGGTATATGTAAGAAGGAAAAGCAACAGGACTTCAATAGTGCAATAAGTCCACAATAAAGTGCGCAAATATAGGAGAAATCCAGATCTTTTACTCACATGTATTAGAGCTCAAACCAGCTCTAGTGTAGTGCGTATGTAGTGGTTTTAGTCCCCCACTAATAGGGTATCACTGGAAGGTACAGTCGATGGATGTCATAGCAGCCAGATGTATGCAACACCGAAAGAGAATAAAAAGCAACACTAGTGCTCACTGTATAAAAGAAGTAAACCAGGAGTAATACAGATAAAAGCGTACTCACAATTTTCTGAGCAGATAGCCCGCTCAGTTTTTTCAGCATGGGTGGTATAATCCCCACCTGGGATTCTTGGTGCGATCTTCACTGGAGAAGTTAAAACAGGATGCCAGGTAATAAAAACAAGGAATATGGCGCAATACAAAAGAAACAGCTAACACAGTGGAGGATAGGAGAATCCAGTGACTTGTGAAGGATTCAAAAAGATTCCCATATACCCATGGAACCTGAGCATCTCTGTGATTATCAAGTTTGAAGAAGGACTAATACTTATCCAGACATTTAGAGACTCTTTTATTGTATTGAGGTACCTGTAATTTTACAATTTTTTATATATATATATATATTTTTTTATCTTTAACTGTTTTAATATTTTGATTTGTTGTTTATCTGCTCACTGGCGCTTCCTATATTTTTGTCTATTTACAAGTAATGTGCAGGTACTTAGGGCCTCCCATACATAGAAGATGTTGACTCACAAACTGAGCTCAGACACCACACAGTGATCAGACACACACACAGACACAACACAGGGCTCAGACAAGTTATGAAAATATTGAAGGTCCCAGACACATGGTTTGTACACATTCGAAATCACCAGCACATGGCTCAGGCAATCTTACACACACCATATCTAACCTTTGCCATCTCACTAGCATTTAGCTCCCTGGGAAGGTGCTCAAGGACTTCAATTTGTCGCAGTTTCTTGCGCAGCTTTCGTAGCTCGGTGGTGTCCATTTTTGAGGTGTTAAATCTAGGATATATGCAGAAGTGTTATGGTAATGGCAAAGTGCTAAAATAGAGCGAATGATAGCAACTGGCAAAGACAGACAGCATGGCAAGGGGCTTTCAGGAGCTGGGGGAGAGTGTTCCCAAGTGTAGGTAGTATCTGGGAGAGAGATAGGGCCATCACAGGAGAAGAGAGAGAGTTGCCCACAAGAAAATAGAAGCTGGGGGAAAGGAGCCCCACAAGAATGTAGCAGGTGGGAGAGAGCAGCCCTGTAAGTTCACAACAGATGGTGCAAAGAGCCCTCCACTTTCAAAGGAAGTAGCAGAGAGCAGCCCAAGAGGAGCCTTATGTTCAGCTCCCAAAGCTTCAGTAAGTACAGCTTATCTTATCAGTACTGATAACTTACGAAGACCTTTTGCCTATTGTGTCCGAGTATGGCACTGAACCCCACATCCAATGGAAATAAATAAAAACAAACCAACACATCAACAGAACGTCTTTGTTCTTCAAATGTTCGTTGTTTTAATGACAGCCGTACAGTGATTTGTCATTTTAAATACTCTACATACAATGCTGAGTATGTCAACCATAAATCACAATGTGAGAAAAGTATTAAAAACAGGGCTACCCACAAATGATCCTTGGATGTAGATTGACAATAAACCATAGTGTTCTGTTATAGTGTTTCTGTAAATGTAACGTCTGTTATACACTAACAAATGTAGTAGGGTCGTCTGTGTGTTAGATTACTATACAACATCAACCTCACTGGCAATAAGCAGGAAAAAAAAATCTAATGCCAGGCAGGAAGTCTGGATAATAAGCATAAATCGAGGCACCCAGTTCCATCATCCAGAGGCTTAAGTTTGCATAATTAACAAACTTCTTGTGCATTACCAATAGATTATATTATAATTGAATAAATATTCTATATATAGTTTAGAAAGAAGTAACCGGGGGGCAGAGCCTGACCACTGATCGGATCAGCTGTGCTTCGTCTGAGCTCCCGCATCTTAGCCTGAAAATCAGCGCTAACTGAGAGCCACAAGCAGACACTGACCCATATCAGTGACCAAAATACTCACCAGCCGACGGTGTACACGGAGATACCGCACAAGACCCGGCACGGCATCGAAGCAACTCAATAGAGGCTTAGGGCCTACCGGAGCTTGAGCTGGGACGAGACAGCCGCTCTCCCAGTTCTCCGACTGATGACTCGTTGCCCCCCTCCATGGACCGGTGGGGGTTGCCCCACTCCCTGCCGACCTGAGCTGCAACAGCGTAACCCGTCCCAGAGTACATTGTACTACTCATGAGACGAACCGGAGCGGAGGAAAACAAGATGGCAGACGCACAATGCTCCTCTACACGCAGCCTGAAATCACTGCAGCATGACACAGCGGGCCCCAGCACGTTGGCACCAGATACGCTGGATGTGATACTCGACAGACTCTGGGCACAGCTAACTGACCGAGCACGGCATGTACAGGCCCTACAACTACTAACAATGGGAGAGCAAGATGGCGCCAAAAGAAGGAGTGGGAAACCTCCCAAGGGTGCACACTTGTCCCCAGCTTCCACAACCAGCACATGCTACCCACCTGGGCTGAGAGCCAAGAAGGTTTCCACCCGCAAGTATCGGCCACGCAGGCGGAAGGCTACAAGACGCAACAGGACACTTGCACCGGCAATAAGCAGCACCCACCACACCATCCCTTACAGGCAGACCCTGGACCTCACAGGACACCAGGTTCATGGCATTAGGGTCCTGACTCTTCAGCAACCCCGGGGCTGGAGGGGAACCCCGTCTCCGCAGCGCTACAGTGCTCCTCAATATGGACTGAGCCCACAATTGAGAAGCGACCCCAATAGGGGCATCGGATGAATGACCGGAGAAGCGGCCAGAGGAGCCAGCTTGGTTTCCCGCAGTCCGCGACCTCCTTCACTACACAGGACTCTGTTCTAAAATATATTGCAGACGGTGCCGGATCGGACGGCACTTCTTCGCAACCTGTCCAGTGATCTCACCACGATATGTGCAATGCCTTACATTGCCAGTACACAAGGTCTGCTATCCTGCATTTTCTTACAATGCCATACACGACCTCTCATAGGATACACCAGACACTAAACTCACTACACTACCTGGACAGGTGGACTTTGCTTAACATAAGCTTACTGTTATCATTATATCCCAAACTGATTTCAGTTAGCATAACCAGTCTATTTTCTGCTTAACAATAATGCTCTAATGAAATACAATTTTTTGCATGTGTCTCATATACCCCACACGTAATGCGTGTTGGAATGCTTGAGGACTGCTGTTGGGGCACGTCAAGCCTATCTGCTAACTCCTTATGCACTGCAAAAATAAGAAAAAATTAAAAGTTACAATTAAAATAATCAAAAAGATGTACCCAATATATATTTTCAATTATTAAAGTAAAACTACAATAAAAGACTTTGGTTAGCGTTTTCATGCCTCATTCAACAGTATAGTCACATACACTATAGTTCTAAAAACTATTATTACTAGGTAACATTACTTATCATCAATATGTACTAACATGGTTATAAAGTGAAGCTAAATTTCGGACACTTGTATTTTTCAAAAAAATATTTAGTCAAGGAGGACCAACAGCACCATCTACTGGAGTGTTTTAAAAAATACCATAAAAGGTCTAAAATGAACTCATAATGACCACACTAAAATCGGAAACTAAGTCCTTTGTGTTGTTATCTTGGCTATATGTTAGTCCTGTGTTACAGTCACCGAGTGTTCATTTCCCTTCTGTTAATATTTCATAGCAATTAGTGTAGCTCAATGCCAGGGCGATGTAGTGGCAAACTATAGAATAACCGGTTTTATTTACTAAACTCTGAAATTGAGCAAACAGAAATCCAAATAAAACTTTAAAAAATAGATTAGAAATAGCCACGCAACTATAACTTAAATCAGGACTTTTTCATTAATGTTGCCATTGGTATTTTAAATTGCCATAATCTGGTGACAGTCTCAGTTCTCATCGTACTTGGAAGATGTAGTAACAACGTGTGCGTTAAAGGGAATCTATAGTGCCAGGAAAACAAAGTTGTTGTTTTTTCTGGAACTATAGCTTCCTATAGTGAACCCCCCCTCCTACACCTTCTGTCACTTACCTGAGTCCAGAGCCAAAGTCCCTCAACGCTATCTCTAACCCCACCTCCGCTCCTCCCCCATTAACGTCAGCCTGTGGGGTAAACCTAATGCGCATGTGCGGCAATAGCTCGCTCTTATTAGGGATTCCCCCATAGGAAAGCATTATACGCTTTACTATGGAATTTCAGGTGACGCCGAAGGGTCCTCGTGAGGACGTCCAGCGTCAGTTAGGCAACCAAAAGTCTAGTAGACAGCCACTAGAGATGGAGTTAACCCTGGATAGTAATTATTACCATTTTTCAATAACTGCAATAATTCTTATTGTAGGGTTAAGGCACCTGGGAATATGCACCAAGACCACTTCAATGAGCTAAAGTGGTCTGGGTGCATACAGTGTCCCTTAAACTTAGTCATCAATAATCCTGTCTTTGAGTTGTTCCATTTGCTATTCATCCAATTCTAAATGCTTTTCTATAATCAACTCTCTGATTCATGGTTATTAACTGCAATGTGAATTGTTTAAAAAATAAAGTGATTTTTAAAATCAAAGGAACAATCCACTGCCCAAATACAAAAAAAAAAAAAAGTTAAGTAGATATACACCTAAGGAATATATGCATGCATTTAAATATGCACTGATGATAGATTTGTACATTACAGGGAAATACATATACAGTAAAAAAAAAAAAAAAAAAGAAAAGTTAAAAACAACACTTACAAGTATGTAAGTTAAAGGGACACTGTAGACACCCAGACCACTTCAGCTTATTTAAGTGGTCTGGGTGCACTGTCCCTTTTGCACTTAGTGCTGCAATGTAAAACATTGCAGTTCCAGAGACACTGCAATGTTTACATTGCAGCTCTAAGTCTGCCCTGACCTGAGTGGCTGTCTACCAGACAGCCACTAAAGGGCTTCCTGCTTTGAAACAGACCTTTAGTCCGGTATATGGTGCAGGACGTCCTCTAGCTCTGCATGAGGACCTCCAGAGTCAGATTTTTCCCCATAGGAAAGCATTGATTCAATGCTTTCCTATGGGGAGGTCTAATGTGCACGCCATGCCTGCGCATTACAGCCCGCTCTTCGGACGTCTGAGGGGGCAAAGGTTCGGCCCAGCGCTGAGGGACATTGGAGCTGGTATATGTTAAGTAAATACATGGTTTTTAACCCTTTATTTATCGGGAGTGAGGGACACGGGGGAGTGATAGTGCCAGGAACACAGCACTATAGTATCCCTTTAATATACATAATATGTGATGAAAATCAAATCATATTAAAGGGACACCAGAACAACTATAGCTTAACCCCTTAAGGACCACATTTCTGGAATAAATGTCATGTGTCCTTAAAGGGTTAATTAAGTTGTTCTGGTGAGTACAGTCAGTCCCTGCAGGATTTTTGCAGAAAACACTGTCTTTTCAGAGAAAACCTCCACTGGCCACTCCTCAGATGTCTACTAGAAGTGCTTCACAGCAGGCCCAGACTGGTCATCGGGCACACCGGCAAACGCACGGTGGGCCGCAATGGCCATGGGCTGAGGCCGGCAGGGGAGGTCACAGGACCATCCCAGCCGGTCCATGCAGGGCCTGCGCTATCTGAGCGCTGGCCCTGCAGTATTCCATGACGGGCCAGTGGGTAGATGAAAGATCTCCCTCACCAGTCCACTTGCACAGACATGCAGCTCGGGAGGGAGAGGAGGACCCGGTGGAGTTCTATCTTGCGAGACCCATGGCAACTCCCCGATCTTGCGAGAGTGAACTTTAGCCTCGCAGGCTAGAGTTTACACACCACTAGCACCACCAGGGATGGCAGCACGGTCCCCCCCCTCCCAGGCTAAAGGTAAGAAGGGAGGGGGGATATAATACCTCACACACAACACTCTCACACACACACATCACCCTCACACACAAGGCACTCTCACACACATCACCCCTCACTCTCACAGCACCTTCACATACACAGCAACCTCACAAACACACATTACCTTCACATACACAGCAACCTCACAAACACACATTACCTTCACATACACAGCAACACACACACACATTTCACCCCTCACAGTCACAGCATCCATCACACACACTGCACCCCTCACTCACACACACAGAACCCCCCCAACACACTGCACCACACACACACAATACATATATATATATATATATATATATATACACACACACACATACTAAAGCACCCCTTACATGAACACTGCACTCCTCACACACATACTGCATCCCCTATACACACACTCTCTACAGCCCCTAGCCACACATGCATTACACCACAAACATAACACGACTAAAACCAACCTTATTACACAATACCACACCACAATCAGCTCACTCTACACACACGCAATCCCACAAGCAGGCTCCAAACACATGCACAATACTATTTTCTGGCCCTTTTGTCTCCTGGTATCCCATTATTAGAGGCACCAGAGACAAGCTGCAAGGAAACACAGTGCAAGCATGTTATTACATTTGCTTGCACTGTGCAGAACAAATACAGGGCCTTTTTCTCATGCTAGAGCTCTTTAGCAGAGCTCTGCGCATAGTCTGCCCTGGAAGAGCATTGAACCAACATGCTCACTTTGAGAGGGGCGTGTTTGTCATTGGTGATGATAAAACACACCCTCTCTGCCCCGCCCCCTTCTTAGTGGGCCACTGTGATTAAAAGATGCCTGGGCAGAATTTTTTTCCCAGTCTGGCCCTGGTTCAACGATCAACTGAAAAAAAAGTAACCAATAGACAAAAATAGACGAGGTGCAGTAAAAAAATAAATCTATAGTATATATTTGAAAAGGAAACTATAGTCCCAAAAACAACTTTAGCTTAATGAAGAAGACTTTTTATATAGATCATACCTAGTTAGTTTCACTGCTCAAACCACTGCCATTTATGCAGCCCTAACCACATCTCCCCTTTGTCTAACACAGCCTACATGGAGAAAAATGGTTTCACTTTCAATCAGATGTAACTTACTTTAAAAGCTTTTATCTCTTGCTCTGTAAATTGAACCTAATTCACACACAGGAGGCTCCTGTTGTGTCTAGCAAGCTATTAACAGAGCAAGAGATATGAAATTGGTAATAAAGGAAGTATAAACATTAGATGACTCTACAGGAAGTGTTTAGGAAGGCTGTGCAAGTCACATGCTGGGTGATGTGACTAGGGCTGTGTAAAGAAAGTGATTTAACTAATAAATGGTAGCAAATTGAGCAGTGAAACTGCAGGGGAATGACACACACTAAAACTGCTCTAGTTAAAGTTGCATTGGTGACTAGTGTCCCTTTAAACATAATATATACATTTACATTCTTTACAGTTACTAATTTTTCCTCCTTTGTTGGTCAGTTCTCACTTGAACTGGGAAAAGTATTAACATTTAATGTCTGTCCACCCGCGATCACTCATCCTTTTTCCCCATTAATCATCTATTGTTATGGTGCAACATAGTTTGCTTGATTAAAAACTCATATGGGGCTTCAGAGATATGGAATTTGGACGAACATACGATCGCCCCAAATTCAGTCAAATCACTCTTCGGCAATGTCATCAGTCTAGGCACAGGGGTTGAGGAGAAGAAATAGGTAATGTGGCAAATGTGGTGAAGAAAAGGAAGGGGTAAGGTAGCAGATGAAGTGAGGAAAATGAAAGGGTGCTTTGGCAGAGAGGAGTTAGGTGAAGAAAGGAGAGACATGGCAGAGGGCATGAATAAAAAAAAAGAGGTGATATGGCAGAGGGGGTGAGGTGAAAAAGTGGGTGAAGGGAGGAGTAATGTGAAAAGGGGGTGAAGGAAGGGGTGGTGTGAAAATGGGGTGATGGAAGGGTTAATGTGGCAGAGGGGGTAAATGAAGGGTGATGTGGCAGAGGGGGTGAAAAGGGGGTAAGTGAAAGGTAATGTGGCAGAGGGAGTGAAAAGGGGGTAAGTGAAAGGTAATGTGGCAGAGGGAGTGAAAGGTGATGTGGCAGAGGGGATGAATGAAGAGTTATGTGAAAAGGGGGTGAAGGAAGACACGATATAAAAAGGGGGTGAAGGAAGGCACAATATGAAAATGGGATGAAGGAAGGGACGATATGAAAATGGGGTGAAGGAAGGGACAATATGAAAATGGGGTGAAGGAAGGGACAATATGAAAATGGGGTGAAGGAAGGCACAATATGAAAATGGGGTGAAGGAAGGCACAATATGAAAAGGTGGTGAAGGAAGGGACAATATGAAAAAGTGGTGAAGGGAGGGACAATATGAAAATGGGGTGAAGGAATGGACAATATGAAAATGGGGTGAAGGAATGGACAATATGAAAAGGTGGAGAAGGAAGGGACAATATGAAAAGGGGGTGAAGGAAGGCACGATATGAAAAGGGGGTGAAGGAAGGCACGATATGAAAAGGGGGTGAACGAAGGCACGATATGAAAAGGGGGTGAACGAAGGCACGATATGAAAAGGGGGTGAACGAAGGCACAATATGAAAAGGGGGTGAACGAAGGCACAATATGAAAAGGGGGTGAACGAAGGGACGATATGAAAATGGGGTGAAGGAAGGGACAATATGAAAATGGGGTGAAGGAAGGCACAATATGAAAAGGTGGTGAAGGAAGGGACAATATGAAAAGGTGGTGAAGGAAGGGACAATATGAAAAGGGGGCGAAGGAAGGCACGATATGAAAAGGGGGCGAACGAAGGCACGATATGAAAAAGGGGTGAACGAAGGGACGATATGAAAATGGGGTGAAGGAATGGACAATATGAAAAGGTGGTGAAGGAAGGGACAATATGAAAATGGGGTGAAGGAAGGGGTGATGTGAAGAAAGTGGTTATGTGGCAGAGGGGTAAAGGAAGGGATGATGTGGCAGAGATGGTAAGGGAAGGGGTGATGGATGTGGCAGAGGTGAAGGAAGTGGTGATATGGCAGAGGGGATGTATTAGTTGGTTAGAAGGAGAGGTAGTTGTTAAATGATATTACCCAGTACTATCACAGTCATGCCCCCTTGTCTCTCTTCTCCCGGAAGATAAATACACCAACCGGAAGTGAAAGACCTGTCGGCGTGGATTTTAAGTTACTGGAATTTAGCTTCATTTCAAGCTTTATCTGGGTGTACACAAATGGCGGAGTAACCTTTAGGAGGATAAACATGTCCGCAGACACTCGGCTTGGTGCGATATGGGTGTAGAAACATGGCGGCGATAACCCGGAACTTTCACTGCTCTTATTATTTTCTCCTATTTTCTAACATCATTGTTTGATTAGAATAGTTATTTGTCACATTGTGTGAGTTTAAATAATGCATTGGATGCAGGCTGTTAATGTTACAGATTGTTTTATTGGTCAGTTGTAGATATTAATCATTTACAGGCACATTAAACAAATATCAGTCATTTACACACCATGTTATAATATGAACCCAGTGATTGATCTTTGTGTATCTTTTTATGTTTATATTTATTTCCATGTATTTCATAAGCATGGAGGGTAAGAGCTTCTGCTACAAAGTCACCTTAATAAGAATATAAGTTGTGCAGAAATAGTATCAAATAAGTTTTATTTAATTAAATTGTTTTTATTTTTTTTATTTTTTAAATATATATATATATATATTTCTATAGACTTAAATCCAATAGTGCTGCTAGGACAATTTATAGGACACTTGATGTTTAATATATTATATAGCTTCAGGTGCTACCTTTATGAGTGTTTGTTTGCCATGTTGTGTGTAATTGTGTAAGTGGAAACATCAAAGTCACACTCCAAGCACCATAACCACTGCAGCATGCATTATGGTGCCAGGAGAGGAACTTCCGTTAACTCTCCTGAGATTTTGGCTGAGAGTGTCAGCTAATTTCTCTCTCAACCAATGAGCTAACCCCTATACTACCAGGGCTTAGCTCAGATAGAGAGCTAGGAAGTAGTGGATGCAAGGAGCGGCAACAGGAAAGAAGTCAATCCATATTACACCAGTTTAATTCCCAGTGCACTCCGGTAGTGTTCCTTTAACACAGCCCTTACAGTGAACAAACGTAAATTGGCATATTGTGTATACACTTAACTATTATGGGTTACTAAAACCTAACTAGTGTCATAAAATAAAACCCGACTGTTACAACGCAGAGAAAGGTTATAGAAACCTTTTAAACACTGCCGTCTCGCAGTTTGCACTATGCAAAATGTTACTAAGAAAAGGAATGTAAGAATTGGAGTGAAGACAAGATCTGGCATACCAAGAAAAATCTTTAGCCGAAATGTTGGTCAAGAAAGCAAAGAAGCCCCCTTTTTTTTAAAGGACCTCTGCTCAAAAATTTAGATGGCTCTGGAGTAATTGTGCACCAGTCCATTGATGCTTGTAAAAATATGGTTTTCATAGAAAGTCCCCGCAGTCTGTCTCGCCCAGGTGGGGCAACCTTGTTGACAGTATCTTATTTGCTTGGGTTTCTTGATTTTTATTTATAAGAGAATGTTTTGAAATGCTTCCCCGTAGGTAAATGTTAACTTGCATCCTTAAAGGTACACTGAAGCATTAGGAATACAAACCTGTATTCCTAATGCTATAGTGTCCCTTTCCCTATTTAATTAGTGCCCCCACACTTTCGACATAAAATCAATTTTTTTTTTCACTTAACCTTTTTTCCAGTGCCGAAACTCCGTTGCTGCTGCTCACCTGTACTACTCTAACAATGTAATCGAGGAGGCATGGCTTCCTCATAAATGAGCATTGGGGGCCTGATCTGCATGAGTGGTGAGTGCCATACTCGCATCTAAGTTTCCCAATCAGTGCTTTCCTATGACCTGCAATTGATGACGTTCAATGTCCATTGACATTGTTTTATTCAATCATTGCAGCCTAAGTGCCTCTACTGGCTATCAATATCGTTGGAAAACAACTATGGGTTTTTTTTTTTTACTTGAAAGGTTAAAATGACAGGACAACTGCATCCACTGGGTGACTCTAGTGGTCCTTTAATGGAACAATCCAGGCACCATAACCACTGCAGCAAGCTTGAATGGTTATGGTGCCTCCATTGTATGGAGTCAAATTGTTTTGTAACGGCTTGACAATTACCTGGGGTTCACTGGTTGCTGCTCCACCCCTGCTCTCTGCCCGAAGCTCTTTTTATTGAGCCAAGCTTGGAAGTGCATGGCTTAGCTAATTGTCTGAGAGAAATCAGCTGACGCTCTAAACCTATGATCTGGCCTTTCACTGCAGGGCTTAGCTCAGGAGAGCTACAGGGTCCTGCTTAGGAGCTTCTGGCTCTCCATCCAGCAGAGAGTAGGTATGGAGTGGCACCTGCGGACCCAAGGTAAGAACTATTTCTGTAGAAAAAGGACAACTTAAAATAATAATTTTAATTGATACTTATTCGTATGTATATTTTTCTTTTTTCTGATAAATTAGACTTGCATGGTATCATATATATAAAAAAGTTCTTCCGTGTAACACAAAAATATAACATAATCTGACTTTCCTGGATTTTATAGAAAACTAGACTTATTCTTCTTTCTTTGCAAATACAGTAAGTTCTTACAACGTTATTGATGTTAAATTGGTCATGAGCTGATGGTACATGCAGGACATTCAGAGTGCGGAAGCACTGTGCCCTTGATCTTCTTGGTCTCAACTTCATCATCTGCCCTTCCACATATAATACATTCTATATATACACCGCCATAATGGGTGTGCAAGCACTACAAGGTTAATACTATTGATACAATATTATTGTTGCCAATTCTAATAACCCTATTAGGTTTCCCGATGTTCCATGGACACTCAAAAATAAAAAAGGAGCTTGGAACAGATATTACTATTTCTTCATGTCACAGTGTGAAATGCATGAAAGAAAAATCGCCCAAAAATTTAATATTCTACTTCTCACTGATGTAAAACCATAGCTTAAGAGTGTTATCCTACCCATGCGCACACTATTCTTATCTAGTGATGTCCCGAACGGTTCGCCGCGGACTCATCATTGAGTAAACTTTGACCCTGTACCTCACAGTCAGCAGACACATTCCAGCCAATCAGCAGCAGACCCTCCCTCCCAGACCCTCCTACCTCCTGGACAGCATCCATTTAACATTCATTGTGAAGCTGCATTCTTAGTGAGCTGTCCAGGAGGTGGGAGGGAGGGTCTGCTGCTGATTGGCTGGAATGTGTCTGCTGACTGTGAGGTACAGGGTCAAAGTTTACTCAATGATGAGTCTGTGGCGAACCGTTCGTGGCGAACAGTTCGGGACATCACTATTCTTATCACATTCAAAGAGTGTGCAATGTAAAACATTGCTGCAATGTAAAACATTGCAGTTCCAGAGAACTGCAATGTTTACATTGTAACTCTGTCTGCCCTCAATGGCTGTCTACCAGACAGCCACTAGAGGGCTTCTGGAATCGAAACGGACCTTTGGTCCGTTATCTGACGCTGGATGTCCTCACACTCTGCAGATTCTTTCCCCATAGGCAATTATGCTTTCCTACGGAGAAATCCTAATGCGAGCGTGGCCATTAGCCGTCTCCCCCGTCAGCGTAGGAGAAGCATGGGCAGAGCCTGAGCCAGCGCCAGGGGACATTGGCGCTGGATTCATGTAAGTGACTTCAGTGCCACTAATAAATATTAAGTTTGTATCCTGATTATGCATTAATATCACTGATGTAGATAATTAGAGACTTCTACTTGTGCAATATCAATTACATTTGAATAAAACGCAAAATCAAAATATATCTGGTAAAATTACCAGTTTGAAATCAGTAACATATTTTAATATATACAAAGAAAAAAAAAATTCTTATACTCCCAGAAATGTATATTAACGGTTACATCCTTAGGTCTTATTAGTCATAAATCAATGAGAATTCTAAAAATAACTCTCTACTTGGTTCCTAGTAGAATAATTCCATGGTGTAAGACTTATGCCATTACCTTAGATGTACTTCCAAAGGCCAATTCCCCCCAAAAAACTCTTATTATTTGCTGTGTAGTAGATAATCAACTCCTAAAATAATGTTCCATACATCTGTTTACTTTTTTAATACCTTATCATATTCTGCTTTTCCAACATTAACCTTTACATCATCAAATCTCGCATGATGCCGTGTTAATGTAAAACAACATTAAAGGAACACTATAATAAAATCATGTATTCCTGATACTATAGTTTTAAAATTGATGTTTAGGTGGCCAGCCTCCCTTGCCCCAATTAAAATGGTTTTAAACCCATGTTATTTCCAGTGCCGCACCTGTCTCGTCGTGACAAGCCCTGGACCACTCCACCTCCCTGGATCAACAAATTTGATGATCTCAGCCAATTTGATGCTTTCCCTTAGCACTGCCAAAAAAAGCACCTGTCTGAGTGACTGTTACTAGAGGTGTTACTAGGCAGTAATGTAAACACTGAATGGAGAAAAAATGGAAAAGGGTAAGTGCTAATAAAAATAGAAGTATAGTAAGCAGTGGTCCAACAGCAGGTAACCCTTAAACTCTCAGAGAAGAGAACGTGTGACACAAAAGATAACAGGAAAAGGGCTGCTCTAGGTAGACAAACCGTAAAAATTATAATAACAATAATAATACAATACTGTGTATCAACGGGTAGGGTAATACAGTATATGAGGTCTCACTGAAACCGTGGGATTGGGGTTCTGATAGGATCGCATAAAAGGAAAAAATCCTAAATGTTCAAGTTTCACTCAAAAATAAATGTCTTATAAGGTTACAACTAAGGTGCTTATTTTGGCTGTAGTATCCTCAGTGCCTTTAGTGGTCCAACTGTTCTGCTTGTATGAAAAACAAAAAGCAAGGAAAACGAATGGTGCAGTATGTGCAAGCCAATATGGATAAAATAAACAAATATGTGCAATCAACTCACATTTAAAAGAGCTATAGCCAGCTCTGGTGTGAAGAGCGTACAGCGGTATAATCCCCGCTTTAAAGGATATGTGGTGGGAGTTCTCCAGAGGGACCGGATCCAACACTCAGGAGAAGGATATATAAAAGATAACTAATAGTGCTCTCAGTAGAATAAGATTTGCAATAAACATAGAATAAAAATGTACTCACAAGTAAAGTGCACTGTGATATCAGCGTTGGTGGTATGATCCCCACCTAGGATTTATTGGTGTCACA